CCTGTAATAGATGAATTGTTGGACGAGCTTTGTGCAGTGGTGGTGTTCACAAAGAGGGATCGAAAGTCTGGGTACCATCATATCAGGATGAGAGAGGAGGATGTTCCAAAGACGGCATTCAGGACACATGAGGGACACTATGAATTCCTATTGATATCGTTTGTCCTCACCAATGCCCCCACTACATTTTAGTCTCTTATGAATAGGGTGTTCCAACCATACCTCATAAAATTTGTATTGGTTTTCTTTTATGACATCCTAGTGTACAACAAGTTGGGTGAGGAGCATTTGGTGCACTTGAGAGTGGTATTAGAGGTGCTACATAAGCATGAGTTGAGGGCCAACTTGAAGAAGTATTATTTTGCAAAGGCCAATGTGGAGTACTTGGGGCACCTAATCAGGCTAAGATTGAGGCAATGCTGAAATTGCATTTACCTTGGAATTTGAGGGAGCTAAGGGGTTTCCTAGGACTAACTGGGTACTAAAGGATATTTGGGAGGGAATACAACACTAAAGCCTGGCCACTGATAGAGCAGCTGAAGAAGAATAACTTGTTGTGGGAAGGGGCAGTTACCCAACCCTTTGAAAGATTGAAGCTGGCCATAACCACTGTATTGGTCTTGACCCTATCAGATTTCAGCCAAAGTTTTATGATAGAGACTGATGCATCAGAGTATGGATTGGAGGTGGTGCTCATGCAAAATAATAGACTCATAGCTTACTTCCGTTAGGTGTTAACAGCCAGAACTAAGCTGAAGTCAGTTTATGAGAGCGAGTTGATGACCATCGTGTTAGCTATTCAGAAGTAGCGGCCTTATTTGTTGGGCCGACATTTCATCATTGTGATAGACTAGAGGAGCTTGAAGTACTTGTTAGAGCAGAGGATGGTGACCGAGGAGTATTAGAGGTGGTTGTCAAGACTATTGGGTTATGGCTTTGAGATCTAGTATAGGCTAGTGTTAGAGAACAAGGCGGCGGATGCCATGTCCCGATGTGTGGGGAGCTCCAGGAGTTAGCCACTTCGATACCACTGATGTTGGATTGGGGGTATATTAAAAAGGAGAGTGCACGGGATGGAAAATTGAGGATAATTAGGGCGGTTTTACTAAAGGATGTGGCTATTCCCTAATAGGGGAGAGATTGCTATATCAGCGGAGGTTTATGTTACCATGGACCTCGATCCATATTTCACATCTGCTGCAGGAGTTCAATCAGAGCGCTATTGGAGGTCATTTTGGTGTGCAGAAGACATACAAGAGATTGACAGCGTAGTTGTATTGGAAGGGGATGCATAAGGATGTAGAGGAGATGATTGCTATATGTGAGGTATACCTTAGGAACAAATACATAGCCATGGCTCCAGGGAGATTACTTTAACCCCTAATTATTCCAGACAGAGCGTTGGAGAAGGTCACCATATTTTTATAGATGTGTTATCCCGATTTGAGGGTTTATAGTGATTTTGGTGGTTGTTGACAGGTTGAGCTAGAATGCTCATATCATTCCCCTATGACATCCTTATACGATAGTGACAGTGGCAGTGACATTCATCAGAGAGGTGGCCAAACTCTATGGGATATCTGAGTTTATAGTGTCAGGCTGAGATAAAGTGTTCCTTAGTCATGTTTAGAGGGAGATGTTCATGTTGCAGGAGACAATGCTGAAGAGGAGCACCGCTTACCATCCCCATACAAATGAGCAGACAGAGTGATAAACAGGAGCTTGGAGACATACCTGCGATGCTTTGCTTCAAAGACACCTTGATTATGGGCGAAGTGGCTAGTATGGGTAGAATACTGGTACAACCCTTCGTATAATTCAGCTTCCCAGATGACTCCTTTCCAAGTGTTGGACGGAAGGGACCCACTTCACTTGATGCACTTTGGGTAGAGTGACACAGTGACATACTAGTTTCGTTAGTGGAGCAGTACTTGGAGGAGAGGGATATGGTGTTGGATGAATTGTAAAGACATTTGTTGAGGGCTCAATAAATCATGAAGAAGTAGGCGGATAAGCATAGGAAGGATATCTAGTTTGAGATAGGGGATAGGATATACATAAAGCTTTGTCCGTATAGACAAAGGATAATAACTGATAGGAGGAATGCAAAATTTTCCCTGAGGTACTTTGACCCTTATGAGATATTGGAGAGGATTGGAGCAGTGACTTATCAATTGAGGTTGCCCTCGACCGCTATCATACATTCAGTGTTCCATGTGTTATAATTGATGGGAACTATTGGGTATCATGTCCCCATTTCAGAGTTACCTGAGACATTGATAGAAAATTTGGATGTGGTAATGAAACCACTAGAGCAGAAAGGGGTACAATAAGGAGAGGGTGGGCTCAAGGAAGTGCTGATAAAGTAGAAGAATTTACTTGACTATGATGCCACATTAGAGCTGTTTGAGAAAGTAAGCATCAATTTTCATCCTTCTAGCTTAAGGACAAGGTGGGTTAGAGAGAGAGAGAGAGAGAGGGTGGGGGGTATTGTTAGACCGGCTCCTGGATCGGTCCACAGATCCATCTTGCATAGGCTCTTGTGTACAATAGGCGGAACAAGAGTTCCGCCCAAGATTCACACTCCCTCTACGTATTGGGTCCAACAACCAATTAGAGAGGAAATTAAGAGGGGATTAGGAGGGAAAATTCAAAAGAGGTCTTTTTTGGGATATACATGATTATTGTATGCTTTAAGTAGGGGATTTTTCTAGGGTTAGGGTTATAACTTGTTTGCTGAATTTAGTTTATTCTTAATTTGATTGGGCTCTTGCCAGCTGCTAGGGATTTGGGAGAGCCTGATCTTCCTCTCTAATTGAAGATCCAACTGTATTTCGCTTTTCTCTTCATAGTTTTTCCAAAATAAAATATTTTTTGGTGTTCTTCTCCCCAATTTTTCATGTTTCATATGCTGATTTTATGAAAACTGCTTCTATTTCCTTTCAAACACCCAATCGTTAACACAATGTATTAAAAGAATCATGTCATGATTATTCAATAAATTTTATGCTGGTTGTAGACTTACCTAACACAACTATCCATTTTTCTCATTCAACCTTTGAGCCTGGTAATGACAATATTAGATAAGGTGAGGATAAAACTAAAAATTTAAATGCAAATATAATTCTTTTCAAATCCATAAAATTCAGATTTAAACCTATTATTATCTAAGAGAATATAAAGCCATTATAAAATAATTTGAATTTAAAAAATTATGAAAACTTTTGCCATAATTAAAAATAAGCCTGAAAAGGCTTGACAATGGGTGCGGTTCAGATTTGTTATGATTCGTTTGACTTCTAATAATTGGTCTATTGCCACTTGAGCTCTACTGACTTTATTTTGCCTATTTGAAGGCTTGTTCATCATCAATATCATTTATTAGCAGCTTCATATACGACAAGATCAACATTGAAAGCTTGGAATTATCATGAGTGTGACCATTAAACTATACTGATTTGTAGCATCTTAACTTATTATCTGTTGCCAGTAGAACACAGTTTACCTACTAAAAAAATGTTTAAATGTTGCTTGATGCGTCTCATTGATAGCTTTTAGTAGTAATTTAATATTTCTACCTTGACATAACCTCTTGTGAATATTCTCTTGTTCTGAAGCAATTATGTTATGATTGGAGTACGAGTTTAGATTAAGGTATAAATTAGAGGTTTTATCCTTGATTATATGTGAAGTTTGAGCGTGAGCAAAGGGGTGCCTTGGTGCCAACTTTTAAAGAATTTAGGACAACATAAGTCAATCAATTTAATAATATTACTTTGTATTAAGGCGTTTAATGTAATCAAACCTGATCCTAACTATTTTTTGATTGTACTCCAAGGAAGTCCTATTCTACATGGGTATGGTGTGGTATAGTAAGGGTGCATTTTCACCCAAAAAAAAAAAAGAGTGCTTTCATGTTGATTTTCATATAAAAAAATATTAAACTTCTTAATTTGCCTCCCAATTTTTTTGTTTATTACCATCTAATAACAACTCTTGTGCTCAATTAAATTGCAACAGAAGCAACAAAAATATGCCATAGTGGTTCTAGAGAGGAGGAGACAGAAAATCTAAGGAATGAATCATTGGTGCATGATTCTTCACCTGAGAACAGCGTGCATTGTTGTGGGAAAGATGGGATTTGCTCGCATGAAACTCTTGGAGATGGGGCAGTTGATGCCGTTTCTAACAAGCAACGCAGGATGGTTACAAGGAAGGTATGTTGAAAACAAATTCATTTCATTTCATGGATAATCTTATTTATTGGTTATGATTGTATGTTTTGTATCCTTTAGTTCATGGCCAACTTAAAAATATATGTAAGATTGCCACTTAAAAAAAAAAACCCAATTTTGATTTCCGGTGGCTTTTCCTCTTTCTGCTAAATATATTGCACCAATGTAGATTTATATTGCCTCATTTATGATTTTGGCATTTCCTCCTTTTATAACTTAAAGTTAGGAGAAATTGACCAAAATGGTCGATGGACTTTTATGATGGAACAAAATGTTCCCAACTATATTAAAGAAAGAGTTGAGGGACCAAAATAGCCCTTTAATATAGTTGGGGATCATTTTGCTTCTTCATGAATAGTTGAGGGACTATTTTGATCTGCTTTCCTTAAAATTCTGCATCCTAGACCCTTGCGGGTCTACAGGAGGCGAAGGGGGGGGGGGCAATCCGGTCCGGGTCTTTTGTTCTTCCTCTCATTCTTCTTGTTTTGGGTTAACTTTGATTTGGTGGAGAAATTTCATCCTTGAAGGAAAATTAGGGCAAACCCTAATTTGTGGAACCTAAGGCGTATCAAATTCATATAGCCCTCTTTTGAGACAGTTGAAGGAAAAGCAAATAATTTAACATTATGTCATTAACTTCTTAATCCTTTGGGCCATCTGCTTGCTTTTGTAGGCTGAAATGCAGTGGTCTTCAATTAGGTTATTTTACCTTTTCTCACTTCATCTAAGATTAATAATCTTTATGAAGATGTATTTCTTATGAGTTAACTATCAAAATAGTCCCCCTACTATTCCTATATGGCTATTATAATCACAGAGTATAACGTTGTTTCAATTCAGTCACTCGGCTATACAAAATCAATCCAAAATAGTCTCTTTTGGACTAAATTGGGCTCAATTTTATATTACAATTATAACAGGAGGGGCTATTTTGCATTAATTTGTATAGTTGAGGGGCTAAATTGGAGCAATGTGATACTCTGTAATTAAATTGGCCATACACGAATAATTTGAGGACTATTTTGAATTTGTGATTTTTCTACTTATTATTTAAATCTTTATTGTGTTAATATTTACTTTTATTTTCATTGCAAAAAATTTCAGTTGATATGTTGCTAATGTATCCGATATCCTTCATGATTTCTTGGAAATTAAAATGCAAATAAATTGCACATTTACTTGCACTAAATTATTTGTTATTGCACATTTCTGTCACAGAGTTTACTTCCATTGCATTTTATTTAATATCCTTTTTTTTTGTTGTTGTTGTCGTCATTTTTTGGTGCTTGAAACAGGCAAGTTTCAGGCTTGCATGGGGATGTAATGGTTACAGTAGCGGTCAGCATAAGCACGAAGTTGTCTCTTTTGAGAAAGGAAATATAACCACTGCAGGGCGCAGCAATAAGCAGGTATCCTAATTTTCCGCTGTTTCATCTTTCTTTGCCTAACAAATGTAACCAAGCTTCAACTTTTTCTATGAACCATTTAAACTAGATTTTTTCTTGTATTTTAGTTATTGTTTATCTTTGCTACAAAGATATTTCTCACGGCATAACTAATCTAATAATGATCCTGTATCTTCAGATTCTACTAAAGTGGGAATCCCAGCCACAAACAGTGCTTATTTTGGCTAAGCCAAATTCCAACTCTGTTCGTTCTTTATGTGCTGAAATGGTCAGGTGTGCTTGCTAAAATATGCTATGAGCCTTTCATTAATCTTCCACAGTTGCTAAAAAGATCTATTAAAATGTATAATATGAACCTCTCTATACAGTTAGGCTAGTTGTTCTATTTATAACATTTGTATATGAGATTGTAATGTTTGTTGCCTTAATGTGGCAAATAATTTGGTTATGATATTGTCTCTGTTTCTATTAATTCTGTGAGCCAAGTTGTAACACACCACAATACTCTTTAATAGTATTGTAGCGTGTCATACATATAAACATAACATTTTTCATCATCTTAATAAACATCCGACAATCTTGCTTTTCTATTGTATTTGGATGATGATGATTTGATGAATAAAATTTCTAGCTTTTGTCTTCTTCAATGTTGTGAGCTTTGAGAGAAGAAAGAGAATTCTAGGTGGGTGATTGCAATACCAGTCATTCTTCGGAAGAGTCAAAGGCTCGCGGCTTATCCTATCTTCCTCCTCCCTTCTACCACCGGCCACCTTTCCTAACCCACCCCAAACTGCTGGCCTTGCATTCCGGCCCCCCACCTTCCCATAATTGGCCCCCCTCCTCACTACCGCCGACCTCCCCTTGCCGCCCTCCCGCTGACCCAAGCCCCACCAACTCCCCCCCCCCTAACCGCCAGCTCACCCAAGCCCATCCTAGCCGCCGGCCTTGCAAATCCTAAGCCCTAAATTCCCCATTCAAATTCCCTCCTAATTAATTTCCTATTTTATCCCTGTTGACCTCTGAACAATACCCAAAAGGAAAAAAAAAAATCAAAATCAAAATACTTGTAAGCGGTTGGCTGCACATCCCGCAAAACCTGCCAAACTTCTCCAGGAATTCCGCTCAAATCCCGCTGAATCCTTGCCGATTCGGCGCCGTTCACGTCTGTTCTCGTAAATCCTGCGATAAGGCATCGATCGTTGCCCTTAGAGGTCGTTAAATACCAATGGAATGGAGTCTTCAGGACTCTCACACAAGCCGCAACCATCTCAACCCTCTCGTCGCTGAAACCTTCCGATCCCGACGCCTCAAACCGAACTTCTGCTTCGTTACCTCCACTGCCCTAGCTCCCGTCGCTGCCTCCCGATCCTCAGAGAGAGAGAGGAATAGAAGTCCCTACTCCTTCATAAGCTCCGGTCAAACCTCTTCCTCCCTATTCCGATCAAAACGCGAACTCCACTCCTTCGCACGCCCCTTTGGCCTCTTTGTGGTTGCTCGACTTTGCCTCTTTGGCGACTTTCCTTTTCTGTCGGATTGGAGGACACGGCATTTTGATCAAAAGCAACCACAGGAGCCGCTTGCTGTGAAGGTAACTCTCTCCCTTTCACGCATTGTTTCAGCCAAATCTAGTGAAGCCGCCGACTATAGAGAGAGGGGAGAGAGAAAGATTAAGTGATTTTAATTAATCTTAATTTTAATTATAATTATTTTGGTTAGTTATAGTTATTATAATTAATTTTAGTTAATTTTAATTAATTTTAATTAAAGTTAATATTAATTAATTATAATGACTTTTTTATAATTAATTATTATTAATTAATTTGTTAAAGATTAATTAATATTAATTAGTTATAGTTAATCAAAGTTAAATATAATTAATTATAATAGTTATAATTAATTATAAGTATAATTAACTAAAAATAATTATAATGAGTTATAGTTAATAGTAATTAAAAAATGTAAATATTTCCTTGTCTCGATTCACGTGCTAGCACGAACAACCCCGCGAAGGTACAAAATTTTCTAAACTCAGATTCTCGTTCTCGAAGTTTGTGTTGGACCAGAAAACCGTCTGTACACGCCTTTAATGTGCGTGATAGGATGGGACCCTGGTGCGGCGCCGACAACGAGGCGGGTAATCACCTTAACCTCGAGAGCCTGCTTTCATCATTTGCGGCGGATTGGAAAACCGCCTAATCACACCTTTATTGCACGTGGTGGGATGGTACCCTGGTCCGACTCCTATGACGAGGCGGGCAATCACCTAAACCCTACTTCAATGTTCGTGGCGGACCGAAAAATTGCCTATACACGCCTCTATTGCGCATGGTGAAATGGGATCCCGGTGCGGCACCTACGGCGAGGCGGGGTCACTCATAAGTACCTCCGAGCAGGGGGAAAGCAAACTGTGTTTAAAAAAAAAAAACAGGTACCGTTAAAGACCCCATACACGCCTTTATTGCGCGTGGTGGAAGGAAAGATCACGGCTGCGGTGTCCTCGTCCGAGGACACCTACCATACACGCCTTTATTGCGCGTGGTGGGAATGCCCAGTTTCTCGTAGTTTTCCCCTAAACGGGGGAGAGGCCGGGAGGTTACCAAAATTTTGGGTGAAAATATGATTGTACTCGGACCTGTTTGAACTCAAAAGGACTTGCAAGAACTATAATTCACACTTGAACTTGAACATGAAGCAAGGAACTCAAACTTGTGAACCTTTGAATTTGATTGAACTCAAAGAACTAAATGAGAACTTGAATTATAACTTGAGCTTGCTACTTGAACACAAGCAAGGATCAAAAGGAGAAATACAATAGTATGCTCATGCTTAACAATACAAAGTCTTCAATGAGCATTAAAGAATTATTATTTCAATTTGAATACAATTGTTAAATAAGAGAAATTTGGGCCATTCAAAGCTCATGCAAGTGAGCAAGGACTTAGGTGATGTGAAATCCCTAACATCTCATTTATGAACAATGAGTGTATCAACTCTTGAGGTGTCATTAAGATTGATGAATCTAATGAGGCACCAATGAACTTAATTTAGAAATATGTGGCAAACAAATCCACAAGCACAATCAACTTACAAGAAATATCTAACAAATGCGAAGGTGAATTGAAGTCAACAAAAAGATCATGACAAATGCAAACAATCGCCAATAGTTCATCTATGAATGATGGATAATGACATGCAATAAATAAATGAGTCATGCTCAATGAATCTTGATGAGTTAGGGAAAACACCTACACCCCTACCACCAACAACAACCCAACTCTAAGAAGATATATCAAAGAGAAAGATCAAATGCAAATGAATAAATAAGGAACTCATGAAAGATGGAGCTCCAATGCACCTGAGTAGTGAGCAGCGAAATCCATTTCAAGTGAGAGCAATGCTGATTAGCAAAAGAAAGGAAGGGCATGAATAAAATATCAAGTGTTCTACTGATGCTGGTTAACTTGTGAAGGATATACATAGTGCATACACATGTGGAAAGGAACACCTAGTGAATATAACTTGCCTACGAGCATGAATAAGAGAGTTTGCAATAATGTGGTTTATCTATAACATAATAAGATCTGTAATGTAAGGGACCACAAGGTAACATAAATTTGGTATGCTGATTCACTAGAAAGGTTCTTGAAGAATATGTTGGTTCATTAAGAAGATGAATGCAACAAATACAATGATATTCCCACAACCAATACCAAACATACAAACAGATGCATTGAACTTAGCAAGCAAAGAAATTAGAGGGAATGTATAGTTTGGTTGCGAGCAAATTATACAAAATCCCTGACAGTTAAATTTCCTACCAATGATGACAGTTGATGTGCAAATTCATGTTAATAATGAAAGCGAAGGAAGAAGAAATACAACAAATACAAGCACCTACATGTTAAAGCAGGAGATTTGTTAGTGCACTATGATTCACTTGCAGAAAGCAATAAATAGTGCATGATAGTCTACCTGTAGATGCTTTATACAGGTGCCTTATTAGATTCATCAATCTTAATGACACCTCAAGAGTTGATGCACTCATTGTTCATAAATGAGATGTTAGGGATTTCACATCACCTAAGTCCTTGCTCACTTTCATAAGCTTTGAATTACCCAAATTTCTCTTGTTTATCAATTGTATTCAAATTGAAATAATAATTCTTTAATGCTCATTGAAGACTTTGTATTGTTAAGCATGAGCATACTATTGTATTTCTCCTTTTGATCCTTGCTTGTGTTCAAGTAGCAAGCTCAAGTTATAATTCAAGTTCTCATTTAGTTCTTTGAGTTCAATCAAATTCAAAGGTTCACAAGTTTGAGTTCCTTGCTTCATGTTCAAGTTCAAGTGTGAATTATAGTTCTTGCATGTCCTTTTTGAGTTCAAATAGGTCCGAGTAGAGTCATATTTTCACCCGAAATTTTGGCAGCCTCCCGACGTCTCCCATGTTTAGGAGAAAACTACAAGAAACCGTGCCTTCCCACCACGCGCAATAAAGGCGTGTATGGTAGGTGTCCTCGGACGAGGACACCGCGGCCGTGATCTTTTTTCCCACGCGCAATAAAGGCGTGTATGGGGTATTTGACAATACCTATTTTTTTTTTAAAAAAGACAGTTTGCTTTCCCCCCTGCGCGGAGGTATTTATGAGTGACCCCGCCTCGGCTTAGGTGCAGCACCGGGGTCCCATCCCACCTCGCGCAATATAGGTGTGTATAGGCAGTTTTCCGGTCCGCCACGAACATTGAAGTAGGGTTTAGATGATTGCCCGCCTCGTCGTAGGCGTCGGATCGGGGTACCATCCCACCACGTGCAATAAAGGCGTGTATAGGCGGTTTTCCGATCCGCCGCAAATGATGAAACCAGGCTCTCGAGGTTAAGGTGATTACCCGCCTCATTATAGGTGGCGCACCGGGGTCTCATCCCACCACGCGCAATAAAGGCGTGTATAGGCGATTTTCCGCCTCTCTCTATAGTCGGCAGCTTCACTGGATTTGACCGAAACAACGAGTGAAAGGGAGAGAGTTACCTTCACAGCAAGCGGCTCCTATGGTTGCTTCTAATCAAAATGTTGTGTCCTCCGATCCGATAGAAAAGAAAGTCGCCAAAGAGGCGAAGTCGAGCAACCACGATGAGGCCAAAGGGGCGTGCGAAGGAGTGGAGTTTGCGTTTTGATCGGAGGAGGGAGGAAGAGGTTCGGTCGGAGCTTATGAAGGAGGTAGGGACTTCTATTCCTCTCTCTCTCTCTCTCTCTCTGTGAGGATCGGGAGGCAG